ACCTTCATTTAAAAACTGCATGTTGTGTTTACTTGTGTTATCTTTTACTAATATTTAAATTTGTTTGATGATCTGAAACATTAAAGTGTGACAAACATGCAAAAAAATAATAAATCAGGAAGGGGGCCAACACATTTTCACACCACTGTATGTATATATACACATATATACACATACATATACCAGCGGTGGCGAACTCCGGTCCTGGAGAGCCGCAGAATTCAGCTCCAACCCTAATTAAAACTCACCTACCTGTAGCTTTCTAGTAACCCTACAGACCTTGATTATCTTGTTCAGGTGTGTTTGATTAGGGTTGAAGCAAAACTCTGCAGGGCTGCGGTTCTCCAGGACTGACGTTCGCCACCCCTGGTATATACATATGCACACACACACACTTTTTACACAATTATCTTTTTTTTTTCTTTTTTTTTTTTGGAGCAAAATATGACCAGGTTGTTTACTTGCCAGTTTTTTTGTCAGATTCACCTGTGCACAGACTTGTCCCCTTCATCCAGTTTGGATGATGTCATTGGTTTGTGAACCATTTTCATGTTTTAACATGCAAGTCACATTTTGTTTCTGTGTCTTCCACCCTTCGCAGGACCTGCCATCATTTTCTCAGGGAGTGTATCGCATCGTGAATGACCTGCGCTTCTACAGACTGTGCAATGGAAGCCTTCCGCCGGGAACCTTGAAGTTATAGCAGCACATCACACCTGCCGCGCAGCCAAACCACGGCCCGTCCCTACGGACGCGGATCACTGCTTCAGTGGTCATGTCGCCTTTCGTCAGGGGCCAGCCTGAGATCTCAGCGGCGGCGTGTTCTGAGAGCTGCAGGGCTTCGTTCGTCAGCTTCTTTTATGTTATTTCAGCTAGATTGTACACGTTTGCCAATGATCAAGAGGCCAAAGCGGAGGTTCTACAGCTGCTGTCGAGAAACTCGTCCAAAATCAGCTGATGCGATTCAAAAAGCGTTCCGGTTCGGGATCCACCGTTGCGTTCGTTGGAATCGGAGCAGTGCTTTCCCAATTGCTTGTTGTTTTAAAAGGACTGGTGTAACTGAAAGTTATTTTGTTGAAGTGAACAGATGTTGTGGAGTTGAACGAACACATCTCAAGACCGTTTCATGTGGTTTTCTGTATGGGCTGTTGTTGAGTGAAGCGTTACTGGAGTTCTGTATGGTTTTAAAGTGAACGGGTGCGACGTGGAGCACTGAATTTTTCTTTCTCTTAAATTGTCTGGTTTTATTGCCCTCTCCTTATTTCCACGGAGACGAACTCTCACATCTTTTTCATATCATTCCATCCTGATCCAGGACAAGCAATCCTTCAATAAAGTTTTATAATTAAATGCATTCTTATTTTGTTACTTGTATGTTTTATATTTGTTTTTAATATGTGTATTTATATATAATTATGAAATATGCTAGTTATATGGTTGTAATATTTTTTTGTATTAGTCTTGGTTAAATGGTGCAGGTTGTCAAAGGGGTTTTACTGTAAGTATTTGTATACAGTATATTAATTACATTAAGTCAAAATAATGATTTAATACAGATAAACTCTGCGGTTGATTGGTAACTATGGTAACCATTTTCACATGTGTACATGTGCTAGCCTATCAGGGTTATGTTATTCAAGTATTTTTGGAGCAAATGACGGGTGAGCTGGCTGATGACCAGAGACTTTCAGTGTTGCCTTCTCTGAAAATAAATTCAGTAAAAGGTAAGAAATGAACTACATACAGTTGCAGGTTCCTCTTTATTTGAAAAGGGTCTGGCTGCAGCCTTGCACTTGCACTCTCAGACACTTGCGCTTCCGCTAGCGACGTCACTTGCAGTCTTTTTTATTTTGTTCTATTTATTGATTACTTTTTGTTTGAATCTCTCAACATTTTACAACAGTAGCCAGGTGGTGAAGACGAGAAAAAAAAAACTAAATTACGATGTCACTTGCAATCGCCACTTGCACTCTCCGATACCTGCGACGTCACTTGCAGTCGACACAAATCGTGCGTGTTGCCAATGGAGACAAGAAGCTGTGGTGGTGATTAAACAATTAAAACTAATTTTATACTATAACGTACAGGGTCCTGCAAGAAAAAGACAAGACCCGCAAATCCGTGGCTACAGAACAGCAGAATATGAACGCAATGCACAAAGTCTCTCGTTAAGCGTTTTCCTCCTGTAGAAAAACATAAATGCTTAACATGGCGTAATGTATTGATACGTTAAGTGCAATTAAAAGGTCAAATTCGATATATAGTTATTATGAATTTGATATTTTAATAGCATCTTAATACATTAAGCCATGTTAAGTGTTTATGTTTTTCTACAGGAGAAAAACGCTTAACAAGAGACTTTGCGCATCGCGTTCATATTCTGCTGTTCTGTGGCCACGGATTTGCGGGTCTTGTCTTTTTCTTGCAGGACCCTGTAGGTTACGGGTACTAAATTAGTTGTAATCATTAAATCACCACCACAGCGTCTTGTCTCCAC